CTCGCCCCCCTCCCACTCCCACCCTGCTTCCCACGGCCGCGCCTAATCCCTCATCCGGGTAGTGGGGGCTGTTCCTTAGCTTCTGAGGTTCAGTCCACCTTACCCCGCTCAGTTTTGTTTTCAAACATCCGAGTCTGATCCATCCTTGCCCCCCTCCCCCCGTAATGCCCCAAAGTCATGGTATCAGCGGAGGCCTCGTCACCTCGCAGCCGCCTGGAGAAGCTCCAAGGGGACCTCACTGCCCTCCCCGCCCTGGTCTCCCTCCTGTTTATTTTTTAAATATGTTTTTTTTGATGTTAGGGGGAGAGGAAGGGGGAGAGAAAAACGATCGATGGGAGAGAGAAACATCGATCAATTGCCTCCATAGGTACCCCAGCCGGGGACTGAACCCCCAACCTGGGCATGTGCCCTGACCGAGAATCGACCCAGCGGCCCTTCGGTGCACGGGACTACGCCCAACCCGCCGAGCCACGCCGGCCGGGGGTGCACTGGCCTCTTTTTACTACAATCCATTCATCCCGATTTCTCCCCACAGAGCACACCTCCAATCTGTCCCTCCCTGCTCCCGAGCAATCAGTGGGCCCTGATTCCTTGTTGATGATTAATTGTTAATAATCATTATCACTCACTGAGCCCCACTCATTGGTGTGGCATTCAGGGCCACAGCTTGTCTCTCCAGCGCTGTCTCCGCCCACCATGTCCCTCCTGGGTCACCTGACCGAGCCACACTGAAGACTGCCCTCCTCTCATCCCTGCCTGCCCCTCCGGGGAGGCCTCTGCCTGGACGGCTGCTCCTCTGAGCCTCCAGACTCGAAACACTTCCCATTCCTCAGTGACCCCTGGAGAGCCCCCTCCTCCAGGAGGCCCTCCTGGACTTCCTGCTGAAGCCTCCGCCCCCTCTTGCCAGTTCCCTGAGCACTCGGTGCCGGCACAGGTGTGGGTCACCCTCCTCCGGTAGCAGCTCTTCCTCTGCGGAGGTCCGACTTCCCTCCTGGGCCAGTGCTGGTGTTCACGGGGTGTGCGCCAGCTCCCCACCTAAACCACCACTTCCACCTCCCCCTCCAGGTCCCGGAGCCGGAGGGGGACTAGCATCTCCTTCGAGGCGGGCTGAGCGGTGAACCGAGCTAAGGCGTGCGGACCGGGCGCGGCTGGAGAGATCGGGAGTGAGGCCCGAGACCTGGGTTTGAGTTCGTGGCTGGGGTGAAGGGGTCGCGTGACTCGGGGCCGGTGGTGGGCTTCCCCTCCTAGAAAGTGACGAGGCAGGTGGGCGAGGCCAGCGCCCTGCCAGCTCTGGTGCCCTCTGAGGCCTGTGCCCGGCCTGACCCAGCCCCGAGCCGGCTGGGCAGGAGCAGGGCCGCGCTGGAGGGAGAGAGGAGGAGGGCCCGGGCGCTAATGGCCTGGAGGAAGGAAGGACGTGCTGGGCTAATGGGATAATCGGATAACCTCCGAGCAATGGGGCTGCCAGGCCGGGCCAGCTGCTGGGCGCGGACACAAATAGCAGGAGAAAGCAGGCGCTGGTGCAGGAAGCCGCTCGCTCGCTGAGAGATGTGGGGGATTTGGTGGGGGAGGGGGATGGGAGGGAAACGGGGCCCCTCCCCCATTCCACGGGGGATGTTCAAGGCAGGCCCTTAGGGACCTTGTAGCAAAGATTCCACTGCAGGGCCCTGGGTCCATGTCCTCCTCAGGGGAGGTTCTTAGAAAGCCTGGCCTTGGGGTGCCCTCCACTCAGACCACCTCAGGGACCATGAAGCCCTGGCCCTGTCCCTTGAGGGTGATCTGCAGAGGGGCCACCTGATGGACGTGCCTGTGAGAACGCTGCTGGGCAGTTTGTAAAGTGATGGTTCTGGGTGCAGGTCTCAGGCTAATGAATGGGTCTGTCCGTGGGCTGGCGGAGAGGGCGCTGGCCCAGGAGTCGGAGCCTGGCTGCTCGTCCCGCCCTGCTCTGCCCAGTCGCACAGTTGATGATGTTCTCTGTCTGGCCCTCAGGTGCCCGTCCGTACAAGGGGTGGTGAGAAGCACCCTCCCGTCAGGCTGTTGTAGAGATAACGTGAGGTCATGAGTGGGAAAGTGGGTGAGAGTTATCCGTGCTCTGCAAAGTGCTGTAGTCCCAGCTCTGTTGCTAACTCCCTGTGATTTTAAAAAGGGTCTTTAGTTTTTCCCTAAATTCCAGTTTTCTCCGCCATCAGGTGATGAGGCCAAACTGGATGCTCTTCGTTTCCCCTTCTCATTTTAATGATTCTCATTCACATGAAAACTGCATATTTACATCTGTGTACACGCTAAGGAAAGTCTGAGAAAGGAAAATTTGAGGTTAATATTTTTCACGAGGAGAAATATAAAACACTCAATAGTAGCAAACCATAGTCAGCAATGTATAAAAATAACATAAATCATGACCCATTAGGATTTATCCCAGGAATGCAAGGATGGCTTAATAGCAGATAATCAATCAATGTTATTCATATGCATAAATCAGAGACTATTATAGGAACGCTTCATAGTAGAAACTATAGGGGAGGGTGGTGGTGGCCAGAGGGTGGGGGAGGGGGATGGGAGTTTCTCAAACAATTAAACGTGGATCTGCTGTCCAGTCCAGCACTGCCGCTCCTGGGTGTGAGCCCAGAGGAAGAGAAAGCAGGATTTCAGCAGGACACGTGAGCGCCCATGTTTATTGCGGTATTAGTCACAATAGCCGAATTTCCCATTTCCCTGCTTCACGGCTCTGTGAGAATTAAATGCGAATTAATTAGGGAAGAATTAAAGGGTAAATGTGAAAATGAGTCATGGAGACTCGAGACGGGCGAGGCGTCTCCGGAACTGGCCGGTGTGCCAGGCTCCCCTGCCCGTGACCCTCGGGCCACTGCCGGCCTGGACTGTGGTCTGGCTGCCTGGGGCCGCCTCCGATGGCCCTCTTCTTGCCTGGAACGGGGACACGAGGGCTCACGAGGGAAGCCCTGCCCTCCTGAGTGACCTTTTATCTACACGGGATTGTTTCTCTGCCAAATAGACCAAAAGGAAGGAAAGCCGGCAAGAGATTAGTTCTTTTCTTAGCTCCCAAATGGCTGACGTTTCAGGAAACCCAGCTTCTGAATGGGACCAAAGGGGACCTCAATCCATCCGGCCCGTCTGCAGCGAGCTCAGGCCGCCGCGAGGACTGGTACGCAGCGTGCGCTTCTCGAGGTTCGGGGGAGCCCGGCTCCAACAGCCTCTTCCGAACGTGTCTGCTCATCCCGGACGCACCCCGAGAGCTGTGTGATGTCCGGGGCACACGCCAACGTGGGTGCTTGTCTTCTGCCCAGTAGTACCAAGCGCACATAAAACCGTAGCAGCCCTGGGGCCGGAAGGGAGGGGAGGAAGGAGGGAGAGGGATACAGAAGCTTTCCCACCGACACAGGCAGGCATGGGCTGCAAAGGACCCGCTGAAACTATATGTAAAAGAAAGCCGGCCCCATCCTATGCGTGTGATCCATGTCTGTCTAGCAGATGCAAATTAACCTACAGTGACAGAAAGCAGCTCCGTGGTTGCCTGGGCAGAGTTGGGGGGGAGGGGGCAGGAGAGAGGAATGACAAAGGCCCTTGGGGGTACCTGGAGGGGGAGGGATAAATAAATATCTTGATCGTGACGATAGTTTCAGGAGTGTATGTATGAGTCAAAATATCTCAAATCGGACATTTCACATAGGTGCAGTTTATTTATGGTGTGTCAGTCACACCTCAGTAACGCTTTTAGGAGAAGAGTTA